CCTAACTATTCTATGATTCTATGATTTACAGTATCTGTCTTCTTCAAATGGGGCAAAAATTTGGAGAAGAGACTATCACAGAAGTCTAAACTAAAACACATCTCTTACCCTCAACTTTTTCACACATATTTCATCCTGGCTGCTACTCAAAAGCAATAAATGCAAACTCCTTCTAATACCTTCAAATATTCTTTGGCAAGTCACATCTACTTAGAATTCCATAAACCATTCTAAAACGATAAAGCTGCTGATAAAACCATTTAGGTTACCATAGCAATATGATTAAATAAGAGTGATTTTGCACCACTGCTGACCTGGCCATTATTCCAAATATGTTTTAGTTGAAAACACTATTAAAAGGGTGTTAGGAAAGAAAGCTTGCTGGAACACAGAAATTGCTAGAGGGTAGCTGATTCCCTTACCAATTACTCCTCCTTCTTTCACTGCATTTAAAAAAAAGAAAAATAAATGACCTCTGGAGAGGTCTTTGAAAGAAGATGTACATACCTTTCTTTAGACAGAACGAAAGTTAGAACAACTATCAGGATATTATACATTCGAGATGTCCTGATAGTACATCATCTCAAAGAGGAGGTATACCTTCCCTCCTATTTGTTTGCCCGTTAGTACATCTGCTTTCTGGGTTAGTGAACTAAACAGAAATTTAGGAATTAATCATTAGTGTGGCCTTGTTTTCAAAATATTTGTTTTATCTGCACAAATATATGAGAGAGATTCCCACAAAGTATTTTCTGTAGCCTCCATATGGTCAAAATCCTGAAGCTTCGTTATTGCTGAGCCATCAGTCTGCTCAACAGCTTGGATTTTCACAGATACCTGAGATTTTCCACTCAGGAATTCTCACCTGCAAAACCAGGGCACTGATTTTGTGGTAACAATTCGGAGCTTTCTAAACTGGCAGGCAAATCACATTCAGATGCATTTCAACTCTGCTTGTTTATAACCACAAGAAAAGTAACACTCATATAAACTTAAAAGCTTTGGTTGTGATTTGAATTGGAAGGTCCCTTTAAACAAATAACTTGCTGCACGGGATCCATGACATTTTTTTCAGAGCACAACTGTTAATTTCAAATTCAAGTGAACAAGAGCTTTGGGATTTACTTTAGTCATACTAATCAAACCACAGCTTCACACTGCATGATTTTCCTTCTGTCCTCTAGCATCACTATGTGTTGGACACAGTGGAAGATTAGGCTATGAACTATGTCAAATAGTGAATCCCTACATCAGTTTTAATGCTTAGGGTCTTCAACAAGTAGCAATGTTTTACAATGACTGTCCTTATTTCAAAACAGTTCTTCCCACTATAAAGAACAGTACATTTATGATGACACAGCGCTTTGTGTCCCACTACACTACAAAACAGCTCACAAACAGGAAATGAAGAATACACCCAACAGGAATTGTGTGTGAAATTAAAGAAATACAGACTGGGCAAGGTTCTGAGCGTAACGTTTCCTAGCTTTGCAAAACATGTCTGGTCTACAGTGAAGCATTTTAGTAGCCCATTTTCCCATGCTGTACCAGAGACTTGCTTCAATGAACATTATCTGTTCATATCACCAAACTACATTTATCAGAATCCTAAAATCTGCTCATCTTAGACCATGCTGATCTATCAAGTTGCACCCAAGCAGCACTTTAAGATGCTCATATATTGCTATGCACTTAAAGACCTCATACACAGTTTTGAATACTGAAGCATTATTCTACTTGGTGCCATCATACTAATAATACTCATACTACTACTACTATTAACAACAACAACAATAATAACAATAAAGAATAAAAACAGGAATAGGCTTAAGTACTAGATCCAGACAATGCAGATTTGCATGTTTAGAAAATGTAGTTACTCACATATACAACTGAGAGGGGTCCACTGTATCGTTTAGTCTTAATGCCAAAGAAATACTTTAATTGGGAAGTGAAGACATGAACTGCAGCAGCAGTAGTAAATCCTCGTACTAGAGGCTCTGTTAGATAGATGGCTACAAATCCAAATCGAATGAGACCTAAATACAACTAATGAAGAAGAGAAATATTAACCACGTGACTCCCACTGTAGACTGAACCTCGGCACTATACGGCATGCAGACCATAGGACACCTCTTCTTACCTTGCTGCCCAAGCCAGATCAGGCAAACCTGAACTTGGCCTTTCTAAAGCCACAGTTCAGTAAACAGCCATCAATGCATCAAATCTTCCATGCCACTGGCAGGTGCAGTGTGGGATATGAATAAACATATGTGTTTGCATTTATGGACTGATTAGAGAACATCAGATTGAGTCTTTCTGACAGGATAGTGTTGTGGTTTAAGCAATAACCAAACAATAAATGGGAAGAAGTCCCATTTTCCCAGTCAAGCCAAGATGCCAGACAAAGACTTGACTCCAATGTATCCCTCCCCAACTTTTGTTATGTGGCTGCCATGAAACAGCCTGCATTCTACACAGTGCAGTGCTGATGCACAAGTGTATTGACAAGGGATCTGCCATGACCCAGCACCCCTTGCAACCAAGTCTAGCAGCAGCACCTGAACTTGCCCTTACAGCAAACTGCAAGCATGTACCTGGATGATTCCTGTAAGGAAGGCGAGAGTCACAGCTACCTGCACTCTCTTGGTGTCCCTGTCATTGTAATATTCAGGGGTATCTGTAACATTAGTAGAATTATAGCCTATAGAAACCATTTCATCAGGCACTTCTCTCACAGCAACGCCGCCAACCATCATACTAATCACAGCAAAGGTGCCTGAAATAAGAGGGAGAGGAAAATAATTGGTTAAAATCCTGGCTTTTTTTTGGTTTTTCTTTTTTTCTTGGAGGATGGTTCTTTTTAAGAGATATGCGGAATTAAACTATAATAGAGTTTTCTATCTAAATATTGTATTTTTTAGTCCCCAAATCTGCCCCAGTGCTCAGCACCATTAAAGTTAGTTAGATGGTGAACATACACCTCTACACTAAGTAAACACCATTATTTTTTTCTATCTCAGTTTCTATAATGCAAATTAAAGACTCATTCTGGCCACAAAGACAGCAATGAAATTATACTTCTGGAGTTCACAAGCACACATTTCTAGATCTAATCCAATAAAAGATGGACTTGTGTTCCTTCCTAAGTAGGATGAATAACTTAACAATAAAAACTACTGCTATGTTGACACATTTGCATTTCTTCTATTCACTTCAATTTGAATTTATGGAAAACAACTACACTATTTCTCCAATTTTATTTTTACAACTTTATTAAACACACACACACAGACTTCCAGTTATCCATACAGATATACCTATAGATATGTGCTTGGAGGTTCCAAAAAAGGTATATAGAAAGACAGGATAAAATGAAGAATATAGGCCAAATACTGGAGGAACAGCTGCCAGCATAGCATAGGCTAAACCTAGAAAAGAGACACAAATATGTATATCAGGCAAGTAACAGAAAGAAACCATCTGAAGCAAAAGGATTTATGAACTCACGTAATAGGAAATCTAGTGACATGTCACAGGTTTAAAAACCAAAAGATCTTGCAGGTAATACTCTTTAATCTGCGTAATACTGTAGGGCAGTGCCTAAAACCTGATGGTTTGAGTCAGGAAGCCAGAAGTCTCTAACTACAGGCACTGCAGGTATGTGCAGGTGTGTTTGTACATCTGTGCACCCATGTACTCACTGCTTTGTTTTTGTGGCAGGAAGTACTTCTTAATAGCCAGCAACACTTCCTGTTGCTTTTGGTTTCATCTGTCAAAGACTGTAATTAGAAACACCCGAAACCCCATAGCCAGTGGGACACGTTTGATTTTTCTCCTCCTTTTCTCACCAGACATGATCTTCATGGTAACCCACCTTATACCGTTTGGTATTCCTCCCAAAAAATGAAGTCCTTTTTGTAATTAAGCTCTGTCCAGTTCCATGCAATGGAAGTGAGATCCACACCAGTCCTATTAGTAGTGGGGGCTTGCAAGAACAGCAATGGAGCTGTAGGGGAACAGCTCTAAGGGACTCAGGAGAGGGACACCTCCCATGGTGCTCCCCCTCTGTGTATCATGCAACCAGGCTCACAAGGAAATTGTGTGCCCCACCAGAACTGGATTGCTGATATTGTCATTCTCTTGCAGCAATGAGCTTTCCATTAAGTACTTCTGAAACTCATCCCACCTGTACTCTCTGCCTCAGGGGCTACCTCTCATGCCAAGAGTATCAGCAGAACACCCTGTACCATAACAGTCCAGCCTTTAACATGGTGTCAAATGTAACAGTACAAGTGACCAGAACTGAAAACCAGTGGTTTCAAAACCAGGAGGGTGTGAACCATGTGAAGTTCCTGAACTGAGTACCCTTTTATTCCTTCTCCTCTCAGTGCCAAGGAAATAAAGAGATATTAACATGACAGGAGTTCATGGCTTACACACCCTGTTCATTGTCGTTCTGCCTGGAATGATTCCCAGGCTTCTTTGAACTTCTGCTTGCTATAACTAACATCCATTGCAGAAAAACGAAAGTTCAACTTTTGTCTTTTTAGAAAGGAAAAGATCAGTTTAAGGGCATGTCTGCCGTCACTGAAGGAAAGAATAATGTTTACTTTAAAACAAAGTCACAAAATTAAGTATAAAGTTCAGTGCTGACCACTTAAATTTCAGCATGCTTATCTGGTCATCACATAAACTGTGTTTCGGTATACAACCAGTAATGTTTGTGTCTAGTATATGACAGTTTTGCCTGTTAACCACATTACTTATCAATTCAAGATAAGCTGATGTTTATATTTGCGTAAGAAAAAATACCCTCAATTACAAAAAAAATGCACAAATCAGGGAGCTGCAGAATTAAACTGCACAGACTAAGTTAGGATAGTCCATTGCTTTAATGGGGTACTGCCTACTAAAATCTAGGCTTCTTGGATTTACAGATTAATTCTTCAGACCTGCCTCAGACTAAAGTGGAACAAGTAAGGTGGAAATACAAAATAAGCCAAAATGCAAGTAAACTTATGTATACTTAACTACACTGCCCTTAGCACGAAGATGCCTCTGGATGGGACTTGGCACAAGCTCAAGAATTCCCTCTACTCCAAGATCATCTTGGCAAATCTACTGGGACTGTGGCAGCTGTCATGAAGCTGCTGTTCCCAGAGCAGTGATGGCAGCCCACAATGATACTGCTGTAAAAATGCTGTCACTTTCTAACCCCGTAGCAGTTCTTTAACTGCTGATAGTAAGATGTCAGGCTGAACAAAAGATTGTCAGCAAGATCTGGACAAAACAGTGAACACTGGCTTTGTCTTCCACAGAGCCTACTCCTGCTTCAGGGCCAGGCTCCACTTGAGGTCAAACTCCCAAGTACTTTAATAGAAATTCCACAGATTTGCAGTCCTGTTATAAAAGACACTTTTGATTTATTTCCACCATGTAAATCATTACCCACTATTATGGTTCCAGCTTCAATTGGTGACTTCTAGCCTTAAGAGAAAAAGAAGCAACAGCCTCTGATTTCTTGCACATTCTTCTCTGGTTGAATTCAGTTTGATTATACAGCAACAGTTGCTCTGCTAAAACATTATGTCTGTATGTCCATTAGATACTGCTACCCTCTGCAGGAGATTTCCTACAAGTTTCAGGATGATGAGATCAGAAAATAACTGGGTGCACTCAGCAAAGGTTTAGACATGCACTTAAACTGTCAAAATTTGTTCTGTCATCAAGAGCTGAAGGTATTGATGAGAGAGGTATGCTTCTTTCACAGTTTGCTGACCTGCATTTCTAAGGGAATCATCACTATGGGCTGGTCTGCAGAATGCTGTACTGATCTCCACACACACGACTGAAATATGTATCCTATACTCATGAGCAGGAAGCCAAGCACTACCACAAAAGCACACCCAGAAAAAGCAAAGAAGGGATACATAAATCCAGAGAGATACTCACCTTGAGGAAGCTGCATAACCCCAGTGCTTATACCTGAGATAATGTCTCCTAATAAGTGTTCCCTTACTCGGTAATGGGGAAGCCATTGTAAAATTGGTAAGAAACTGTAAAGATGAGACTTGGCTTTCTTAGAAGAACAACTGAAAATACAAAGCAGAAAGAAAATGTTAGACACTAGCAGGAGACAAAGGGGTTTAAAAAAACCAGTCTTCCTATGCAGGAAAACAGCTCCATTAAAGACAGGCTCAGACCCCTGATGACAATTTCTGGACAACGCCCTGAGGATAACTTGCTTTCTGATAGTGGTTTTTGCTCAAAGTACTTCGCAATTTTATTTCCTATTTTTACTTACTATTTGTGTGCTTTATACTTCTTTGATTATAACATTTTATATATTATGCTTAAAAAAAAGAAAAGCCAAACTATTATTTTACTAATGCTTGTTACTAGCGCTAGTATCGATAGCCTAACTTTTAGGCTATTTGAGAACATAAACCTTCTTTGCCCTTGAAAGGAAAGGCACTAAAGCCAGCAACACTGATCCTTGTGTCTCTTAGCAGAGTTACCAAACTTTTGAAACTCTGACTCATGACAAATGAACAGAGCCAGGAAATAAATCTCTCTATCCAGTATTGCAATGCATCATACTTTGATTGTACTGTGGTAAGGAAGTTTAACCTTAGGTAAAAATGTAACACTATGATCATATAAATGTTTTTCTGTGTAGGGGAACTGCAAGAGAACTGCAGAGATTTGTTAACATTTCTGAATTCTCATGGGACTAAATTGCACAGTGAAGAAGGTCAATGCTACAAGTGAGAGAGAAATTAGTCATCCACACTTCTCCATGTTCAAGCAGACTGAATCACAAGAAGTCATAGCTCAGGAGAATTTTGATCCATGTATTTTTCTTATTCAGGACAGATAAATTTTTTGAGATGGAATTAGGCGCCTTCACCACTAGAATGGTCATTCCATTAACAAAAACAAATCTCCAAAGGTTGAATCATGTGAACAGGAATATTTTACAGACAAGCAGTCAGGAAGAAATCATTTGATGTCTTACAGAACAAGGTTCTAGCAAGAAATTGAATCAATTCTGCAAATGAAGCACAGATAAATAGCTAATGAGAACTAAACTAGAATAAGTTTCTCTTCACTGTCCTCTGGTACTGCAGAACAAGAGCTGTGTAGTTAAAGACATTTCCTGTCTAACTAGATGATACTTAGATCCCAAAGCAGTTACCTAAAAGCTACAGGATACCTCTGTCAGGTCCTTATTAGACTAATAATTCCGATTTCTACACAGGTGTCATACATTCCCATTCTTCTTCCATGAAAGGAACATGTGAAGCACAAATTTGGCTCTAAGTATTTCCACTTAAAATGACAGATATTTTTCTGGGTCTTATGAATTCATGTCACATGATTTGACTAGTAATTCACATTCCTATGCTGCGTATTTTCCTTTCCACTTTGATGAAGACAACTCAACTAGTTTATCCAACATTTTGTAACAGAGTTCTATAATAACATATAAAAACACGTATACAACTTCATCACAGTCTCGCTGAATAATCAAAGTAGAACTACTGCTATTATTTCTTTGAAGAGATTATAAGATGTGCATGACTCAATTAAGAATTAGAATATTTCTAACCAATAAAATAAAGATAAGACAAATCCCTACCGACAAGAATGTGCAATCTTCTGCCTTAAAGTCCGAGGTGTTCTTTCTCGTCTGTGCAGCCGTCCTTCCAAGAGCTCTTGGTTATATATTGGTCTCTCTACACAATACTTCTGGGTTTGCTCAAGACATACTTCATCTACTTGAGCATGTTCCATAGTTGATCTCACAGAGCAGGAGCCAAGGAAGAATAGCTCCTCAATCGCCACTGAAAAATCTGGTTGCAGACAAAATAAGTTTGGTTACTTTTTTAACCTTGGATTTGGCATTTCCTTTCAAATAATGTATTTTGACAAGCTAGAGATGAGAACTGTGAATGCAGTTTAAAAGCACTAATTAGACAGGCTATAACAGGGGTAAGTAAATAAACCACACTCACAAGCTTTACTATATGGAAGCCATTCATTTATGCTTCTCTGAGGTAAAGAAAGCTTTTGTATTAATTACTCTGTAAATAGTTGCAGAAGCAGAACTGGAAGGTTACATTCATGCTTGCCTGGATATTCCCCTACTGAGTTTGTAAAGAAAATGTCAGTGTCAAAGGGAGATTACTTTGTTGCTGAGTTACTTCCTGCTTACTCACAAACTGTCACGTCCAGCTCCAAAAGACAGAACTCCAATTTTAACACTGAAAAAGCCACTTTTTTCTTCCAGATAGCCAGGTGCTTCCTCATTCCATCCACCTGCTTTCTCCTTTGTTTCAGAGGCTTCTGTTGCCAAGGATGCACAATTCACTACTTTCAGAAAGTTACTCTTCCAATGGATGTGCCACTTACTGTTAATTCTCAGTCCTGCACCCACTGAAATAGGAGTCAGGAGATGTACACCATCTTAAAACTAGCCAGAAGGTTTGTAAACATCTAGTAGTCTGTTTGATTCAGTGCCATAAACATCTTAACATGTTTAGGAGATACTCTGTTAATTCCTTTGCCCCGTGTTGGCTGCTTCTAGAAATATGGAGCAAGAAACATACCTCAAAATAATGAGCAAAATGACAGGACTGCTATATCGTTAAGCAGAGATGCTGGCTAGCACTACATCTGATGACAGAATGTGAGTGCAACAGGCAACAGAGCCATAATTGTGAACAAAGCCCTTGGGCTCAAGTCCAGCAAGTCACTAAAGCATGTGTTTGCCTTCAACCAAAGGAGCTAACCCTGAGATGTTTAGTTTTCAGCTGTACATAGATACTTTCCTAGAAAAGGGTCACCATGCAGAAATTAAACAAATTGCTACCAAAACACTCAGACAAAGCTAAGCACGATAGGTCCAATGTTCTGATTCAGCAAATACGGTCTGCCCAACAGCAAAATACCAGTATCACTGCCTAAACCTTCAGTCTGATGAGAGTGCTGGAAGCTTCCACTCGGGGCTCACTGTTCTCTGTCTCCTAGGACAGACGCATCCCAGCACCTCGTCAGTTCTCACTATTTTGTAAGCAACACTTTCATGACAGAGTCAGTGACTAAAGGATATTTTTACTGAAATTATAAATCTTTATTTACACCACATTCAAGATTTACCTCAGCTTTATCGTGTGAAATAAAGTCTCTACAATTTGTTTGTAAGCACAGTCTCATACCAAGGGTACTATCGGAGCTTGTTACCTTTGTACTCCTGAAACACATCTGAAGCTTCTTTTTCATCTTTCCATAGTTTCAATTCACTGAGAAGCTCGAATGATGTTTTGTGAACTGTTTTCACGTGTTATTGTTTAGCAAATTGTAACTCTCAGCACTACAATTTTTCACCCTACCTGCAGATATTGATTCCCATCTGAGAAGCCCTATGGCTTTGCAGCAATACCATTGACATGAAAATGTATGTTTGAACACTTTTTTTCCATGTCAATGTCTACCTACTCACAAATACCACTTCCTACTTCACATCTTGCCCTGTCACAGCCAGTGACCCACAAATCCTAATGTATTAATGTCTGCCCAGTGACACTGAAACTTTAACTACCCTAATGCCTGCTGGAAGGGCAACACAGCAGGGCACAGGCAATCCAGGAGCCTTCTGAGGTGCAGTGACAACAGCTTCCTGCCATAAGTGATGGAGATCTGCAAAGAAGACATGCTCTGCTAAACCTGAACCTTATAAACAAGGAAGAACTGGTAGGAAATCACATCACAGAGCATCACATAGAGGTGATTCTTCCCCTTTCCGCAGCACTCGTAAGCCACAGGTGGAGTGCTGGGTCCAGTTCTACCAGTGTAAGAAAGACATGGGCATCCTGGAGAGGACCTAGCAAAGGGCCACAAAGATGGTTAAGATATTGGAAGATTGTATCAATGGATATAAACACCTGATGTGGTAGGGAGTAAATAGGCAATGGGCACAAAGTGAAATACAAGAAATTCTGTTGAAATATAAGGAATAAAAATACAGCAAGCATGGTCAAACAGTGGAAACTCCACAGATGTTGTGGAGTTTCTCTCCTGGGAGATACTCATAACCCGATTGAGGATCATTTTGAATATTAAGCTGTAGATAATACAGTAAAGATGATAGTCTTTAATATAATCCATCTCTTTTGCAAAAGCACACGCAGAGCAAGGATTGAGATGCTTGTGTCAACAATGGATCACACACACTGTTCACAGAGTAGCAGAACAGCAGCATTTTGTGACTGGTTGAAGTGTCTCTCTCAGTGTTTGCTGAATAGCAGTATCATAAACTGCCAACAAAGATATCCAAGGCTTGGAAATTCAGCCTTGACCTTCACTCCCAGCGTGCTTGAGGAAGAGCAAAAGCAGGTACTGCCATTTTCATTAAAACAAAGCTTACCACTATGATTTCTGAAAACTCCCAGACCTTGCTCCAAAGACAAAAAGGCAATCACTGGGCATCTGAGTCTTAATAGTGGAATATTGCTCTTGGACAACCTTTGAACTTCATGGCAAGAAAAAAAAAGAAAAAGCTGTAAGAAATACTGCTATTAATCTTATCAGCCAGATAAGAGTTGAGCTGAAGTAGTTAAAAGCTGTATGCAAAAGACTTAAAGAATAGACAACTCTTATCTGACTGATAAGGGCCTGTCTTATTATCAAATGGAAGGTGTTAAAGAAAAAAAAAAGTGAAGCAAACACCAATTCATAACACTATCACTAATATTAAGTACTTCCTCTTCCCAATCTTAGATAATAAAGGAGGGCTGTCAGGCTATCTACACTGATTCTTGGGGAGGACAGTAAATTTTGATCCAGTCCACATGAATTAGAATGCAGCCATAAAATCTGTAAGGACCATGATTTGGTTGCTGTTCCTTTGATTCAAAATGCCTATGGGGAGAAAAAAAAAAAAGCTGGAGAGATGAATAAGAGTCCTGTCTGACTCTTGTAGCTTTAATAGGTTTCTCATTACAAAACAGGGCACTTCTGCTCCTGACCTTGTGTATCTAACCTTAATGTATCCGAACTACCTAATGCAACAGGGTGAGTCAGTGGCAGATCCATTGACTTGCCTGTTTTGAAAGAGCAGAAAACCTTTCTTCTGGTAACTAAGCGTGGAGTTGCTTTACTGCTTTAAATAATGGAAAGGCACGGGGGGACAGTACCAGTGCAGCAGCAGTACAGTTGAAAACCGTATCTGTGCCGGAGAATTCCAAGCCTGACCATGAACCGCAAAGTCTATGAAGTATTTTGTTTCTTTAAGCTTCCAAATACGAGTGACTGCCAGCACCCAAAGGACTGGTGGAAATACTGCCACTATCTGTAAAGTATGTTCTCCCAAATGTACACTGAAAAGCAGAGTCAGGGCAAGGTCTGTTCACGCTGTCCAAAGAGGTTAGACACAAAAACTGAGGCAATTTTAGGAACTACATGTTCTCTCATTTCTTTCTTTCCTCTCTGGCCTCATTCCCCAGTGCCCTATGCTCTGCCACTTATCACATTGAGTGATTTACATAAAATTAGACTAAGCCAGAATCAATTTTTATTTTTTTTTAAACAAACACAAAGGTGTAAAATGACTAGGTGGGGTCAGAAGGAATGTGTTCTCTCAGTTTTCCTGGATAGTGCTTATCATCCTCATTCCTCCTCCCACTAAATCCACTAATGAATAGATTGTTTAGACCTGTAGTCTTCATGTAAAGCTTCACAAATGGAGAAATTATTAGAGAATCAAACAGAACATTCCTTGTGTAAGTCCTAAGATAAGACTTGCATTCCAGGAGTGAACCTTCCTGGAAAAAAAATTAAAAAAATCAGGACCTTGAATTCCTATGCAGCTTTTAGGCAAAACTCCCACTTTGCTCCACATGGAAATGTGAGATTGCTACATAAACTGTGTTGGGTTGTATGATAAAAGCTCCACTGCATACCCACTGGGTTACTTAGAGGGACAATGGCAGGGCAGAGAGCCTGGATAATACTCTGCTTGGCAAGTCCTGGGTCTGCCACAGGTGCCATGAGCCCATCAAAGGCTTATCTCCGCCAGTCCAGAGCAGCACAGCAGGGTCAGCTATGGGACCACAGGAGTCCCTGCCAGCTCTGAATGTGAGAGCATCTGTGTATCTATGAGTAAGAGCATGAGGAGGCAGCCACCGGCACCTGGGAAATCCTGGCCAGCCACATGTGTATGCATGTGATGGTCTGTACCAGCAACTCGAGTGGAGCTATGACCTTGTGGGCTCATAGGCCCAGCAGCCAGCAACTGGGGAAACTGAAATACAGGAGCTAGCTACTGGACAGGCAGTGTCTGAGCCCAGCTGCTGAAGAGATCTTCCTTGTACATACACGTGCATGTGCGTATCTCTTTATACATATATTCTCACTGCTGCATCAGAAGAAGTGTGACCAACAGGTCAAAGGAGGTGATCCTGCCCCTCTACCCTGCTCTTGTGAGACTCCACTTTGGACCACTGTGTGCAGTTCTGGTGTTCTCAACATAAGAAGAACATGGAGCTGCTGGAGCAAGTCCAGAGGAGGCCATGAGGATAGTAAGAGGACTGGAGCACCTCCCTTACGAAGACAGGCTGAGAAAGTTGGGGCTGTTCAGCCTGGAGAACAGAAGCTGCATGGAGACCTCATAGCAGTCTTCCAGTATGTGAAGGAGGCCTATAAGGATGTTGGGGAGAGACTCTTCATTAGGGACTGTAGTGATAGGACAAGGAGTAATGGGTTTAAACTTAAACAGGGGAAGTTTAGATTAGATA